CCATCATGCTAGAATACCTAGGGTTTGTTGGCCTACCGCATCAACCTTACCACTCTTCCCAAGCCTTTGTGCTTATGGCTTTCAACCGGCCTACACCGGGTATTTTGGCCTATAGCACAAATCAGGACCACCTTACCCAAACCAAACACAACATGTCGACATATAAACAATTAGGATTAAGTAGAAACATAATACAGGGAAATAGCAAACATACAACTCACTACCGCCTACTAGTCGTCTCACAACATACAATCCTTCTACCTTTAAGGACTTTATCACCTAAGGGTAGGACTGATTAAGGTTTTACTTAGTCACTTTTGGGTGTAACAATAATCCAATCAATGACCCAAATACGCGCCCGATCATAATCCAAAATAGAGCTCCCCAATTCTAGGGTTTTCCACATAAAATCATAACTAGGGTTAGTGCTCCACACATAACCCCATTATTGACTTAATTCATTAAGTCTAATGTTGCATTAAGTTAATTGTAGGAAATTATTAAGTATTAATTAAAGTTCAATTATCAGTTTTAACGCGGGATAAACTCTAAAACTAGGGTTTTCTTGACATTAGGGTTTTCTAAACCTAGTTAGGGTTTCTAACCCGAAATAAGTTCCACTTAGAATAAATTCAGATGATTAGGTAAAATTAATATCTAATAAGCCCAAAACCACCCACTACCACCTCAAGTAGTGGAGGTCGGCGGCGGTCCGTGGCGGCAGCCACCCGCACACGATAGCAGTTTCGAGTGATAAATTCAATAAACAAGTGCACATAAAAGTTCTTACATCATTCATACACACACTAACACCAAAAAGAATACCAAAATGTCCAATACAACCACCAAGATGGTGGCAAACGACGGCAGGAGATGGCAACCACCACCTCATGGTGGTGGTGGTGGGTTTTCTTTGAGTTTTCTGGCCAAGAATGTTCATACAACATCTCATCATTAAAACATGCACACACACAATATTACACACACAGCGACCCACACACGGTGGTTGCTGGTGGCAAAAAAAGGAAGTAAAAGCAGCAACCACCATGGTTGGCTACCATGGTGGTTCTCTTTGATTTCCGGCCAGCCAAGACATACCTACACACTTTATGACATATCACAACAACACACACACACACACACACACGAAACACGAGCATCCAACATTGAAACACGCACCCAAACTCAGCCACCCTTAAGGTGGCGTGTGGCAGTCGGAAGAGATGGCGGAAAATCGAACAACTGCCGGAGAGGTAGCAACAACGTAGTAGCAGAAAAGAAACGGAGAATGAGAGGTAGCGCAACTCTTAACTAAGAGTAGAAACAAAGAAAGCCACAGGCCTTCGATCTTCCAGCCTCTCCACAGCCACGATGTCGACTCTCAGCTCGCGTCTTTGTCGGTAGCGACATCCCCGGGCTTTGGTGGTTCATAATGGCGTCAAGGGGGTGGCGGTGGCGGCTGGAAGAGTGGAATGATAAGGATAGCGGCTACAAGGTTTTTATGGTTAGGGTTTTTGGTGTTTCACTTTTAAACGGGGAACGAGGGGAGTAGGGGTGATGGTTTTAATTCCCCGTCTCCCATTTCAAATTCTAATCAATTTCAACACTTCTGGCCCCTCCCTTTCTTTTCTTTTCATTTCAAGTCCATAATTTACTCTATAGTCCCCTGATTCCAAAAATCTATTCAATACTAGTCCATATGATACAATTTAACCCTCAATATCCATAAAATATAACTTTTAACACCGCAAGGTCTATACCCTACTAAGTAATACGACTTTAGGGCTAAAATAAATATAAAATACATCTCGGGATTTTAGAATCTATTATTTATTTATTTATATATATATATATATTTTATTTTATCTTATTTATTTTATTTTAAACAGAATGTTACACTATGAGAATGAAACGCACGTAGTGGTCATTCCTGAGAGAGTGTCTGAATCCCTCAAACAAAGGTTCTGATACCCACTTGTAACGCCCCAAAAATTACAAGGTAAAAGAGTTTCATTATTAATTCAACTAGAAACACCAAATTATCCATTTTACAATCATTAAAAAGTATTTTAGTATAAAACAGTTATCGGAGTACAATCCTAAAATCATATAGTTGCGGAAACATGTGTGGATGCACTGCGATCAAGTCAGGCCCTTCCCTTTCAAACCGGAAGTACCTAAAACCATAACCATAAAACTGTAAGCACAAAGTTTAGTGAGTTCCCCAAAATACCACATACCATATATATCATTGGGCCTAGCACGCAGATTGGGCCTAACCCAAAATAATGGGTGTAGCCCTTCCAAATGAATGAGCCTCGCCTATCATACACATGTAAGCGTCACAGTTCACAAAGACAGCTAGCATCTTATATACATTAGGCCTAGCCCTTCCTGATCCACGGGCCCAGCCCAGCATACAAATTGGCCTTGCCCATTATACAATGGGCCTAGCCCAACATGCCATGCAAGAGTCACAAAGACAACCAACATAACATATCTTAGCGGGCCAAAATTTGTACCTTCGCCCCACAAGTACAGGGAGGAGACTCACCTCAATCTGAGATAACTGAAACACATGCGCTGCAACTACCGGAATCCTCACACTGAACACAACCAAAATATCCCTAATTAACAGTTAAGTTATTTCCAAAAATCCAAGGTCCAATCCATAATCTATCCTTCCAATGGGTAAAATACCATTTTACCATTCCCATATTTGACTCGACATCATATGGACCAATTCCCAAAAGACCCAAGGCCCAAAAGAGCCTTTAGGAGTACACCCCGCGTACCAAATCTATACACCTCATGTACTGCCTTTTGTTGCACAAGGTAAAATTCGCTAAAGTCTGAAAACAAGGACTTCATGCATTACATTGAGCATACACATACGTATACTCAACATACTCACCAGGTGCCCAAAACATCCAATAAGCACTTAATCCTTGAGATTAAAATGTCCAAACTCAGATCTAACCTCTAAATAAGGTCTTAATCCATAAAGTTGACAACTTTGCTCCTTTGCATGTCTTAATGGGACCCAAAAACCCGTTTTTAACCAGCTAAATCCATGATATAAGCACCAACTCTAGGATGCTTCATCAAAAACCATTAATATGACATTTTTATGCACCCACAACCTCATAATTGCTAATATCTAACATTCTAAGCTCGTGGAGTATCTCATACTCACAAGGATGACTCAAGGGACCATAATAAACCCAAAACAAGCCCTAGGCTATAAATAACACATAAAGTCATCAAGATAGAAACTTTATACCTCTTGGAAGTTGATGAAGAAAATTAGAGCTTGGATCCACAAGCTCTAAGCCAAGCAATGCTTCTAGCAAGATCTCCTTCTTCTGTAATGCACACCAAAAAATCACACAAAGGCTTGAAATTCACACAAGAGAGGCTAGTGTTTCGAACTTAGGGTTAAATGGGGTGGAGGCTGAAGTTAAGAGGGTTTGAGAATGAGTTAAGGCCTTTAAATAGGGTCCAAGAACCTAAATTAGGGTTTGTACCTGACTGGAGTAGACCCAACGTACTCCATCATCCAACCACGATCATCTAGTCCAGTACGGCCAACATACTGGATTAACCCAACATCCTCCTAACTTCCAAAATCCATAAATTCTTCGTCCTAACACCGATTTCGATGATCCTGATATCTGCGGAAAGGTAATGAGAAGCTCTAGAATCCTATCAACTCCTATTCTCCTTAAAATCCAAACTTAAATCCAAAATTCATGAAAGACCTAGGTCATCGCCTTTTTACCAATATACCCTTGGGCTCCAAAGCACAAGCTAAGCTCTTGGATCACAAAATCTACATTACCCACATCCATTGGATGGGTCTAAACCTCTCCTTCCCTAAAGCATGAAGCCTTATGATACTTGATCTTCAGGTCACGACCCCGAATAATGAAGCGATTCGAAACAGGGGGTTATAGTCTAAGGTTGCTTTTAGTACAAACGGACGAATATTAGATCCATATCAAACAAATTTGTCCACAAATATAGCAGATGCTTTGGTTTGCACCCAAGATTGGGGTAAAGAAATCAAGAAAGCCAATTGTGGACATCATTGATGAAATTATGAAAGACGATGAGGTCGCGAAAGCTTTGGAAGAGGCAATAAACAATGAAGATGGAAAAGGAAAACAACTTATCAATATTGTCAAATAGTTAATTTGTATTTGGTAAATGTTATTTTGGATATGATTACAAATTTAAGATTAATATATTAGTTTGAGTGTTTAATGTTGAATGTTTAATATATTGCTTTCATAACTATATCACAAGATTTAGATGCAATAAAAAGATAAAATAAAAATATTATTTTAAAACTTATGAAACCGAACAAAGAAATGGTTTAATATATCTAAAAATATATTTTATTACATTTCTAATACCTTAATTAATTATAAAAATAAAACCCCTAAGTTAAAAAAAAGTATCAAACAATCCAATTTATTCGGTTCTTAATCATATTGTAAATGTTATTCGGTTTTTCTGGTTAAAAACCGAACCAAACCGATTATTACCCAAATTGAACCGGTATCATATTTGTTTAAACGGCTTGGTTTTCGATTCTTTCAATTAATATTATTTGGACAAAAATGCAAAAATGGTCCCTGTGGTTTGATATTTTTTGTGGATATGGTCCAAACCTTTTAAAAATTGGATTTCTGGTCCTTATTGAAATGTTTGTTTGTGGAACAAGTCCCTAAGGTTAACAGCCGTTTGTTTGTGGCTGTTAAACCCCTCACGTGCATTGCACACGAGGGCATAAATGTCTTTTTACTTGAGGGACCATTTTTACAATTTCTGAAATAAACCCGCTTGTTACAGTCTTAGCGCCATATTACACACAAAATCACAAAATATTTAGTTATCTCTTCCACTTCCATCTTCTTCGTCATTCGTTTTGAACGCAAAAACCCTAATCAAGATTTGGTCCAAGGTGTTTACTTGTTTTTGCTTTTCAACTGTAAATGGTGTTCGTAATGTGGGCGATTAGGCCAAAAGGCGAGACGTATGACATCACAAATGAATATGGTTAGTTTCACTTATCCTCTGTTTACGAAATTGTGTTAGGTTTCTTGATGATCTGAAGAACAGAGCCAAAAATACAAACATCTGATAATTTCTTACTTAATGTTTTTTGTATCTTGTAGAGCGTGTACCAACAATGTTCAGCATAAAGCTACACCATGGTGGAAATTTTACGAAGCTTCCAAACACGAAATATGTTAAAGGTGAAGTGCGATATATTGATTTAGTAGACATTGATGAGTTCTCAGTTCATGAACTAGACGCAATGATGCTAGAGCTAGGTTACTCTGTACCCCCAGTAATATATTACCATTTTAGGATTCCTCATGAAGACTTGGATTTTGGCCTCAGAGCTTTAGGGAATGATAATGATGTCTTGAATTTGGCTCAGTATATTGGAGATAACAAGGTCATTGAAGTGTATACAGAACATGGAAAAACTAATTTGCTGACCTATTTTATGTCTCCAAAAGGAAAGCAAAAAGTTATTATTAAGGAGCTCTGTGATGGTGATCTTCCAAAAGAAGCAAATGTACCTCAAGTACCAGCAAAGGATAAAACCCCAATGATAGATGAAGCTAATGATCAAACACAGTTGGCAGGGTATATGTCCTTGATACTCTTTGACAAAGTCCCTACACAAGTTTCACCACAGTATAGAAGAAATGGAAGGGTGAACTCAATAGTTGGTCAAAGTTCTTGTGCCAAAAAGCTTTGTTTAGTTGAATTGGATGATGTAGTAGAAGATCAAGGTGGTGATCATGCTAAATTGGATGATGTTGTACAAGATCAAGGTGGTGAGAATCCTAAATTAGATGATGTGGTACAAGATCAAGCTGGTGAGCATGCTAACATGAATGATGTGGTTCAAGATCAAGAGGTTGAGCATGCTAACATGGATGATGTGGTACAAGATCAAGGTGGTGACCATGATAACTTTGATTATGATGAATTTCATTATGAGAACTTTTCTCATGATCACTTTGATCCTTTTGATGGAGAACATTATCAACCACCAGAAGATGAGAATGTTGAAGACCATCAGTCTGAACATGAAAAGTCTGCTGACAGTGATGATCTTAGGCAACAATCAGAAGAACAATATGATGAACTTGTTGATGATGAAAACAATGTATCAGAAGTGGAGGTGGATATGACTGATTTAACCTCAATCTTGATAAGGATTATGGTTGTGTTCAAATGGATGGGTTTCATAACGGGGTTGGGACAAATGATGAACATGAGGACATAGAAGTCATTGACAATGATAGATGGGATTCTTTAGATGAAGGGTCAGAAGATGAAAGGAAAAGAAGATGTGTTCTTAAAAATCTAGCTAAGGAGAAAAGATGCAGTCTTGGCAATGTCCATAAGGCCAGTTTTTATGTTGGGCAAAAGTTTAAATCAAAGAAAGAATTGAAAGAAAAAATTGACATGCACGCACTAGAAACTAGGAGGAATTTATATTATAAAAAGAATGACAAGATTAGACTTCGGGCATTGTGTAGAGGTGTAGTCCCTGTCATCAATGCAAGTGGGGTGGTTGGCCTTAATCCCAAAAATAAAACCAAGGGCAAAGAGGTAAATTCAGAAAAAGTAAACTGTAGTTGGTTCCTTCATGCTTCTAGGTCAAACACAGAATCTCCCTGGTTTGTAAGGACATTAAATGACAACCATACTTGCCTTCAAAGTAGGAAGATTAGAGCTTGCACTGCTACTTTTATATCCAAGCGAATCATGGACCAAATCGACACGAATCCAGGGATTCCTCTTCGAGCATTGCAGGAACAACTTCAAAAGGACTTCGAGGTAGGTATTTCTATTGACAAAGTATTCAGGGCCAAGGCTATTGCTACTAAGACCGTGGAGGGTGACTATACGAAACAATATGAGATCTTGAGGGACTATGTCCTTGAATTGCAAGCAACCAATGTTGACACAACTGTCAAGATTGATGTTTACAGTGAACAAAACCCATCAAACCCAACGAGGAGGTTTAAAAGAATCTACATTTGCTTAGGTCCCCTGAAAAAGGTTTTAAGGCTGGCCTCAGGGATCTTTTGGGTTTCGATGGTGCGCATATGAAAGGACCATTTCCTGGGCAGGTTCTAACAGCAGTTGGGTTGGACTCTAACAATGGTATTTACCCCCTTGCTTATGCCATTGTTGAGACAGAGAACAAAAGTAGTTGGGTATGGTTCTTGCAGTGTTTAGGAGAAGACTTGGATCTTGGTTCAAACTCTAACTTTACTTTTATCATAGATCGACAAAAGGTATCTCTTTCTAACTTGTATTATTAATTACTTATTATTATATAAACTAAATACTTAATTTTTGTTATTGTTCTAGGGTTTAATACCAGCAATAGCCCAACTATTCCCATGTGCTGAGCACAGGTATTGTCTCAGGCACATACATCAGAACATGAGAGTGAAATGGAAATTGAAAGAGTACAAGGATCATTTATGGAGATGTGCAACTGCAACCACTGTACCTGAATTTGAGCATTGCATGAAAGAATTTAGCAACTATGACAAGGAGGCATGTGAATGGCTTAGAAAGATTCCTCCAAAACACTGGGCAAGAAGCCATTTACAGGTACATAAATTACCATAAATTACTACATGTTAAATGTGTACTTGTACTTAAAAGAATATGTTAATTTTTTTAACAGGCAGAGCAATCTCTGATATACTGTTAAACAACCTTTGTGAGGTATTTAACAGCAAGATAATAAAGGGAAGAGATAAGCCTATCATAGGTTGTTTGGAGTATATTAGACAATACCTGATGAAGAGAATCTGTAATGTTATGAAGGTGATGGACAAGGCAAAAGGGCCTTTAACACCCACTGCAACAACCATATTGGATGTAAACAAGTCTCATG